AAAGTCTCAAAGGGCAATTTTTTTATTCCAATACCAATAATTCTTGGTAATTACCAATAACAACATTCGTCTTCGAAACGGAGATATCCATTCCATTTGAAATCCGAGGAATTCGAAGAGATGAATAATAAAATTTTAAAATGGCGCGGTAATGCACAAATATTCAGTAACCAATCAGGGAGCTGATTACATCACGCATAGAATTAAAATTATTTAAATAATCATTCATAATAAAATCATTTTTAAAACAAATGCAAAATTAAATTTTATTTTAATATTTAACAGCCATAAATAATGTTTAAAACATTAGATTAAATTTATAGATATTAATAAAACCAATTACTTTTTAAGTAAGGTGACGTCAATGATTACATCATCCACAACATAAAATTATATAAAATATTATAAACAAAATTTTTATTTCAAATAAAAATGAAAATTAAATTGGTTTTTAATATTTAGAAACCATAAATAATATTTAAAACACGGAAGTTATAAAACGCATTATTTTTTTAATAAAATGAGAACAAAGTATCGGTTACTATAAATAACTTATCCAGCAATGGGTTTACCATAAGTTGTATTACTCGCCAAAAGGCAAATCGCCAAAAAGTCGCCAAAATCCGTGCAACCGTCTACCAAAGTAGCACCATTAAAATGCATAGAAACATCAGATCGTGACATTTCAAAGAAAAACCATTAAAAGAATTGTAATAGTAAACTATTTGTCTTCATACAATTCATCATCAGTTTATAAATATTTTAATAGATAATATGGTACTTTTCCGTTTCGCCGGCGCAAATCTCGCCAAGCAGACTTTGTTGGCGACAACATACAGTATACACATAAAAAAATGTTAATTCTAAGAATTTTTTTTTATTTGAAGGCATAAACATTTTAATATGGTTTAAAATTTTGTAAAAAGCCAATAAATAAAGACAATAAATTTTGTAAAAAGACATTAATTTAAGAATTTACTATGATTTTCATGGTTCAAAATCCTGATTCGCCGGTTCGTATCACGTGACCCCAAGTGATCTCATCTCACGTAAACTACGCTACTAAAAATCTAATTCGCTCAGTAATTATCTACATTAATTTCAAGTTAAATCTTAATTTGGAATACAAGTTTTAATGCAAGAATTATTTCAATTCATACGAATAGCTTACTCAGAAATTATGTAAAACCGCAGTGCTTTACTTTCGCTAGTGCATTCTCATTAGAATTGATGAATTTAACACTTGATTTCGCCTTCGGGATGAGCGGTGTAATTGCGTTCTCTAATTGCATTAGAACTAATTGACTTAATTACCGTGAATTGTCTTAGGGGATAAAATTTAAATATCGTGTAAAAATTATATCTAATTGCATGCCAGTATTGAAAGAAACAATCTGATAAGAAATTGGCTTCAACTTGTTTTGAAACTGAGGCATAAAAGGTTAACAGCAAAGGATATTTCGTTCTGGCATCAGTTGTAAACCATTATTGGCGACTTTATCGTTTCCGCCGGCAAAACGGAAAAGTACCGATAATATTAATTTAATAATAATATTTAATAGATAACAATTAAATTAATAATAATTTAGATAATGCATCTTAGTTCATTTTTTAATATTTTCAAACATTGAATGAAAAATTTTTATCTGTTAAATATTTTTAATAAATTACATTTATTAATATAATCAAATGATCTATAAATAAAATAAAGCAATTTAATGAGAACAGGTTGCATAAAAATTATTTTAGTTTTAATTAGACATGCCATACCTTTTTGCCCCCTTTACATTTTCGGCTGCGTAACTGGAATGGTCAGTCTTCCTAATTGTGATTCTTCATCACAAACTTTAATCACGTTATACACTAATTTCTTAAAATCGCTGCGGAAAGATTTATTTCTAGAGCTTTCTGGAACACTAGAATTAAATGGGAACAGGTTGCATAAAAATTATTTTAGTTTTAATTAGACATGCCATACCTTTTTGTCCCCTTTACATTTTTGGCTGCGTAACTGGGATGGTCAGTCTTCCTAATTGTGATTCTTCATCACAAACTTTAATCACGTTATACACTAATTTCTTAAAATCGCCTGCGGAAAAGGATTTATTTCTGAGAGCTTTCTGGAACACTAGAACTCATCAAAATGAAAATTTGAAAGTAAAAGGAGGTCAGTAACAGCGATGCTCAACAATTGTAAGAAAAAGCACTAAATGACCCCCGACCTCCGAGAGTAAAAAATACCCGCGTTTTTCATCCACACCCTGTATGATACTTCTTAAACAATTTGAAGTAAACTCCAATGATGGAACACAGCAATAACTTTTTAACTTTTATTTTACACTAAAAAAAAAAAAAAAAAAAAAAAAAAGGCGACATACAAATAACAGAAGAAAAGGTATAAAAACGTATTAAAAAATAATTACATACATGCTTTGTGCGAGAAAATGCATGCGGCTCTCGAGCCCGCGTTTCAATATTGCCAGTAATCTGTACATTATTTATTATTCATCTATTTCAAATGTACGAGAGATTAATAACTATATTAAAGCTGTTACAACCGCTACGACTTCCGAGAGGGAAAAATACCCATGCTTTTTACCCACACCCCCTTCAATTAAACTGACCCATCTTGGCTCTCAGCCAAACTGCTCTCGCTAGTGTGGTTAGACAGTAGTTACAGTGTGGATTGCTTTATATAGTTAATGAAAAAGCCCGAGGCAAGTTTGCTCAAGATCCACCTCAGTTTTGCTCGAAAACAACTCGAACAATTAGTGGTAAAGTTGCGGTATGAGTTGAATGCAATATTCAGTAACATTTTACCTAGCACCACTTGGTCTCGTGGCGTAAGTGGTTGGTATATCCATTTAGCAGTTAGAAGATATATGATTTAAATCCTGGTGAAGAAATAGTTATTATTTCCAATTCTTTCCCGATAAAGTCTTAATAGACTCAACAGCATCTGAACTAAAATATGGTGAGCATTAATTCGTCGCTAGTTGGATTTAGTCAACTGGGTTTCTCACATCTTTACAAAACATCCTTTCTCTTAGGCAGATAGTTCTCACATGCTTTGAGAAATTACTGTTTAAAAAAACTATCCTTGCAGTGATAGAGGATGTGAGAAATTATTGCATTTGCATCTACGTGCGCTTTTGATTTAATCCAATTAGCAAATAGAAGACTCGCGTTTCAAATCCCGGCGAACATTTGATTTTCCTGCACCGAAAAATTTAATAGTCTCTGCAGTCTCACGCAGTGCTTTCGTGGTATCACATGCGTGCTCGAAGTATTTGCAATCCATTCATACTGTAACTACAACCAACATAATGCTTCTTCCGAACAGTACAAGTAATTGATTTTCAGATCGTAGTTTTTTAAATTCAAAGGCTTGTAATGATTCAGAATTACATCACACAGCATGAGTTCCTATTAAAAATGTTTCAGCTGCTTGATTTTAGTAATAACGTTTGAAGATGCATTTTACATGCAACTAATTTAAGATGTATACCGTACCATTGAAAAACCTTTATATTTCTAAATATGAAACATTATTAATAACTGTACTATTTCCTTAAGAAAGAAAATACTAAAACTTCAAAATATTTAAAACACGAAAAGCAAAAGGAATTTTGTTGTTATTTCGATAATATATGTGATATGATAATGTGTTTCGACCAAACCAAACCAGTCACTGGAACTTTTATTAAGAAGGTCATATGCCAATAAATACTGAAAAAATATATAATGGAAGAGGGTCAAGTATGAATTATTTTACTGTAACACGAAACGCCAAGAATTTGACGTCAAAGGTCAGATATGATAAGATTGTAGAAAGTAAAAGGAAATCGCGATAATAAGAGATTTTTGAAATGTCGATGACATGCAAGATACATCTTGTTAAGTTTAAAAATAGTAAGTGGAGTGAATACACTGAAAATCTAAACGAACTAAGTTCACTATGATGTTGAGCATATCACAAAGGTACGTAAATGAGATAATTATCGGGATTGATATCTTTGACTAAGATCTTTATACTCTAACAAAGAATTTTCAAATATCTTTATACTGTGATTAGAAATATTTTCTTTGTTGCTTAGTAACGATACAACAAAGACCCACTGTTGATAAATGACAACTTTGCGAGATGAACGACAATTGTGAAATGAGCTTCTAATTTCTACATGACCTTCTAGAAGTGGAAATATTCTCTGTTTCATGAGAAAAATTTTGTCATTTCGAAAAGAATGCGAGGCGCTCCAATAACATAAAATTATTTTAATATTTAATAATAAAACACTGATTTCGGCAAGGATTAATAATTGCAGCAAATACTACTTTTTACACATTATCTTACAGATGCTCTTTTATTGCATTATAATATATAATTTATACATAATATTGTTAGAGTACTATTTTTATTACTGTAACTGATATTTTTAAGAACTTCTTTTTCTAGGTTTCTGACTGTTGTATGTATTGACGTATTTAAAATTAGTTCCCTATCAACTTAAACTCTACATTGGTTCATTGTTCAACATCGACTTAGTCTTTCTGCAACGTAGCGATCGATTAACCAGCACAACTGCTCTGCAGTTATCTGTTAGGCATATTAATAATAACGGCATCAAGTATTATAAGTTGAAACAATGTTTGAGTCATTAGGTTTTTTTTTTTTTTTTTTTTTTTTTTTTTTTTTTGAAGCAGGAGACGTCATTTATGTGCACTGCCCTCGCCGGAACTCGAACATGGATCTCTCGAATACGCGTCGAGTGTGCTACCGTTAGACCACGAAGGCATGCTGGAAGGAGGGAGAAAATAACTCTTTTTTTCTAAATTTGAATATAGCAATTCATACAAAGAAACTCTGCCTAAGGGAAGGGATACCAACGTAAAGGACCAATAGAACTGGCTCGTATTTATGTTACACATGGCGAAAACCAGAAAATCCCTCTCCAGGACCTGAATTAAGTCAAATAATCAATATTAAGCTCTTTACTTACTCGGCTACTGGTGGCGTGGTTTTGAAAGTTATGCATTGATATGTCAAACAATCACAGCAAGTTAGAATTTTCGGTTAACAAATTAGGTGCATCGAAACCTAAAGAGGTTTTGTATAAAATAAAGCAGTCAGTCAATTGAAATACAATAAAAAAGGTTATGATAATCAAGGGTAGAGGGAAAAAAAAGAATAAATTTGTTTGTTAGAAGTGCATCGCATATGCAGAGTGTCCTAAATGATGTATACAATTTGAGGCTCATAAAACAAAACTACATAGTACAGCAAAGTAATTTTAATCTCAAAGATAGATATACTATCAAAGTTTCGTAAAATTTAATCAATATGCCGCCACATGTGTAGCACTAGTTTCAAATACCAGGTATGAGATAAAAAAAAAAAGATCAGTGAATGACGTCATAATGTATAACAATTAGCGAACGTCCAAAGTGCGGAAAAGATACTCCATAACGTGTTTGAATGTATCTGAGCTCTGCGTAGGCATAAGCATTATGGATTTCTGTCAGTAACAGCCTTCAAAGGTATATTAGTGGCTGTGAAATAGAGCAGCGAATGAATTTAAATTTCTGTTTCAAGCTTGGTAAATCTGCAAAAGAAATCTTGACATATTGAAATAAGTTTAAGGACATAAAACCGTATCTTTAAAGTGGATTTATCAGTAGCTTAAATATTTTCGGTATGGACGGGATTTCATTGTAGAAACTACTCAAATTGGAAGGGCCTTTGACTCTTCATAGAGATGAAAACTTTGGAAAAGTGAAGAAAATGTTAGAAAAAGCAACAATGAATGCTAAAATATGTAAAGATGTTTTGGCAAATTTATTTCAAAGGACTCCTCGTTTTTCGTTCAGAAAATGCTAAGGCGGGCATTTGGTTCCTTCTCTATGATAATGCCCGACCACACTCCAGCCGATTTCTTTTTTTTTTCCCGCAACTGCAAAGAACCCTAAAAGAGCGGTTTTCTTATATTCGATATTTTTGACATTCAGAGCCATGCTATATGCGATACTGAACAGGACTTTTATTACGGACTTCAGAAAATATTTATATGAATAAATATAATAAATATTAAGTACACAATGCAATTGAATAAACAGAAATTTTCAAAATAACTATTGAAAGAACTACAATACCAGCCCGCAACTCAGATGATTAAAATAAAATTCTAAAAGGGAAAAAATATCTAAAAATAACAACTGTGATTAAAAAATATAATATGAAGTAAAAATAGAATATGTAAGAAAGAAAACATGAAACTTTTTTTCTGCTCCCGCAGAATGAAAGGAAAAATGAAATGAAAACTGAAGAAAAGTCTTTTGTATTTTTGCCGTACGAGGCGAAGTTGTATGCAGCATTTGTGGACTCCTTGCATACTGGATTATAAGCAATTAATTCGTTGATGCTTCCCATGTTAATCAAACCATTCGAACTAGCAACTCAGAAGTTATAAGAATAACTATAAACAGACTTTTTTGTTACTTAAATAACTTTTAACAGTTATCTGCTGTGAAGTATGGTAATATATTATTTTGAACAAGCTGAAATTTTCTTCTAGATCAGGGTTTCTTAACTGTGGGTAGCGACCCCCTTGGGTGTCGCGGGACTTGCAGCAGGGGGTCACCAAAAATTTAGCAGTTTTGATATTTCTTTAACTTATTGTAATAATTTTACAATTACCAAATATTTTTACACAATGTATCTGAAAATAGATAAAGATAAAACAGTACAGACAAAGGAAAAAAAAAAGTTTCGACGCATTTTTTTTTATAATATAAACGTTCATTTTCCTTGATTTGCATGTGCTGTCATTTCGTCTGTTACTTATTTAAAATCTTCCCATTGTTCTATGTCTTAAAATTAGAAATTAAAATTAATGACCTAAAACTGCAATAGTATATTATAGTACAAGTGATAAAATTGACAATTTCACTCACGAGTATGTCAGGTTTGCGCAATACTTATGGGGTTCCACAAAATTTTTGTAAATATTATGGGGTGTTATGGTGTCACAAAAAATCTTATTGATAAAAAGGGGTCGCGACTGAAAAAATTTTAAGAAAGCCTGTTCTAGATAACAGAGAAAGCCGCTGGTTTTCATGTTAAACAATTGCAATTGGATCTCGCGGTTTACTTACTAGCAGTTCTACTGAACTTGTTTGCCAATATTTAGATTACGAATTATGAAATAACAGAATAAAAGTTACCTAGAAAAGTCAAACTTTAGTCAGGTCTCGATTTATATCATTTTATACATCAACCATATACGCGCTTAGTTTCGAAGGTCGGTTTCTTTTAAACTTCAGTCTTAGACTTGCTTATCTACGTTCTCAAACTACACAATAGCTTGCAGAGATTATAAACAGATCTACTTTACATATACAAACGCTTCTTATCTCTTTTTTTTTTATGGAATGGACAATAAACCAAGCCGTGAATAAATCTCACATAGTCTGTTTTGACAGAGTTGATATTTTTTATGCATCTCAATATTTTGTTTTGATTTTTTATATCATTTCAACAAAAGAACTTTAAGAAAATATACATTTTTTTCAAAAGTTGTGCTGACATAAGTTTATCCTATGTAATCATTAATAAATTTTGATATCCCGTAAGAGAAGACAACCCGATGGTATGGTAGACTTACGGTAGAAGGATTCAGACGAAAGAGCCGAATGTAAAGAGTACAGGTTAGTCAAACTGAATTCATAAACATTTTAAGATTCTATGAGATGTTATGAATTTCGCTAAGTATCGTGATACAAAAGAGATAGTCAAGCAAAATATATTCATAGAAAATTAAACCTTATTTTGGCTTAGCAGGTTGTTATTTTATTATTTTGGCTAATTATTTATTACCAACCCAATTTCGATTTAAACTAGTCACTTACACTGGCCAAAAAATGTTTCTAAATAGCTTTGTTGACAGAAAAGTACCTTACTTAATGTGAAATCAGCTCATTCGAAATAATCACCTTGTAGATGCTCATGTCCTACTGTTCCTGCTATAGCTTTAATGATAGAAAATTGCTATAAAATATTCTGTTTCTGCTATTGCTATAAAATATTTTCACCAAAAGTCTCAATGCTAAAACATAGCATTGAGAATCTTTTCAATTTTCAAATGATTTCACCAAATCCTAGATTTTAAGAGCAAAATTTAGAATTTTTTACAAGCATTTATTATTTAATTCTAAAATTCGAAACACTAAATGGAACTGAAATTCATAATCTTGTGATAGCGTTAAGTAAATATGACTAAAAATAAAAATATGCAGCGTGAGGTTACACTGAAAACCGCCAGTATTCATAAGGGTTTAAAGGCGTGAAATTTAAATAAGCTATTATTATTCTGATATTATTTTAAAAGACACCAAGGATGCCGTTTGTCCGGGGGGAATAAGAAAAAGGTCTTTGGTGAGCACTAGGAAACAAGCAGATGCAGATGACATGTGCTTCTCAGTTATCTTCCATTAGAGATAAAGAATAGTATGCGTAGTGCAATATGTGATTTAAATACTTCGAGTTAATGCTTCTTAGCTGCATTGTTAACAAACATGTTTCAAATAGGAAGTAACTTAAAAAGATGTCTAAATATGTAAAAAAATTAATCTTTTACTAGAAATAAAATTTTCATAACAAACTGACTATGAAGACTGCATCTTTTAATAATACGTTAATTAATAAAAGAAACATACAAGAAGTACTTTTTATCTTCAAAAATGATTTATAAGCAAATTTTTTCAAGGTAAATGCACTAATTTATTAAAATATTATTAAAATAAATAAGATAAAACGTTCTCTTCACAACAAATGAAAAAAATAGTTATGAATGAACATTATCAAGTTTGTTTACAAGAACTCTCACCTTAAGAAATCACGATGCTACTCAGCTGGGTGCATAACTTGCTGTGGTACTATCGCACTGAGAGATTTGTATCGCTTAAGACGGCAGTGGACTTTGTACCGACATTGATAAGTGACGTAAAACTGGAAACAAAATAAGTTTCAAATGAGAATTTCTTCATACTGCCATTTTGAACACGAGCGAATCCAGGCAATAAAATTAGTGAAAGAAAAAATGTATTTGTAACTTATGTCATTTGTTAGTATTTATTATTATTAATTTTTAATATTCGGATTTTTATTCACATTCCAAGTAAATGAAAAATTTAAACTGAAAGAGCGAGTGGAAGTGCTAAAAAAGGATTTGCATGAATTCTGTCTGAATTTTCTGGATTATCTCCGAAATAGAAAGGCTATAAGCGGAAGGTCAGCTAGTATTAAAACAAAGAACTATTATTTGGCATCTTTGAAAATAACCCCAATATACTCGAACTTCAGAATAAACTAGATTGCTAGATGATATTTGCAGTTATATTATTTGAAGCCAGGTGCTGCGAATTACAAATAAAAACTTCATACACTTTGGGATATCTACTTGCACAGATTTTGGTACGACAGCTGAAGTACGTGCAGGAACCAGACAGCAGAATTAAACTAAAAATGTGAAGATATTAGCAAGCAGCAGAATTACTCTATAGGGCTCAGATACGCCTGTTACCTAAAGTGGCGTCGAAGTCTAGTGGCAGCAAAGTAATAGCTGTTCCGCCACTTTAACCAGCAATAAAAGCAGAACCAGAAGCTCGCGCTACAAAGGTACAGCGCTTGTCTGCACTCTCTAACTTTACCTTCTTGAACTCAGTATTTAAACCTTTTCTCCTCAATATACTCGAACCCAATATATTTTGTAGAGTATGTATTATAAAGTAGAATTTCCATTACTTCACGCGCGCTAACAAATTTAAATATTCTGGCATTGACAAACAGGGGAATGAAGGCTTATAGGAAATAGAGTGAGTGAGTGAGCGCCATCAAGGAAGACAACTGACCTGGCCTTAGCCTCACAGTGTGTTATATTCCTGGTAGAAACCATCTACTCTCTGCTTCACTCTGCTCCGGGAATACAGCCGAATAGACGGCTAAGAGCCTAATAGAGTGTACATGTAAGCTTGCATGTTGTTGTTTAGAGAAAGAGTATCCTGTTAGGAACTACTTAAAATTAAGCAAAGAA